CTATACACCAAGTGCATAATAAAATGAAATTCTGTTGCAGTTGGCTCACAATTACAATCATACACTAAAATACAATCGAGATACTGTAGTTACTATAAAATATACATTCTATACACATTTGACATTAAACATTCAAACATCTAATAGCCTGGGGAACAAAGCTATTTCCCAGTCTGCCTGTTCTACATCGGATACGGCGGAACCTCTTTCCAGAGGGTAACAAAACAAGCCATGATGAGGATGGGGGGTGTCATGACCTGTCGAGCTCTAGACAAACAGCACACATATGCTAGGTCTTGGATGAGAGGCAGAGAGATCCCAATTATCTTCTCTCCTGCCCTTATTACCCTCTGCACAGACTTTTTGTCTGAGGCACTACAGCCTCCATACCAGATGGAAATACAATTAGTGAGTACACTCACTATAGTGCCTCTATAGAAAGTAAGGAGAACGGAAGATGGGAGATGTACTTTCCTCATCTGGTACAAAAAATGCAAGCGCTGTTGTGCTTTCCTGTAGCTTTCTAGGCATATTTGCATACCTTAATCCCAAGTTACAAAGCATTTGAGGCTTAACATGGTTTGAATCTGTCAAAAATCTCAAGCTATGATTCTAAATGGGATTGGGTTTCATTTTTTGAAATGTAAACTTACTTTGTGTGTCTGGAGTTTTGAAAAATAATTTGTATGGCTTTGTGATATATTTATAGAACAGCCTTTTAAGTTAAAGGCTGAAATTCTTCATACAGGTTGTGAGGGAAACAATATGGAATTATTTCTAATCCCATCTTCCAAATATGTGAGCAACCTGGGTAGTATTAGATATCGTGCTATGCTAATACATGTGCAAAGGGTGGCAATCATAATTTATTAAGCATTTTACAGATACCTTCACTGTAGTGATATTATATATAAAAGAATTGGACCTATAATTTTTTTAAAAGCTATGAACACTTGGCTAAAGTTCTGTATAATAGCCATTAGTAAGTAGTAAGTCTTTGATAAGCAATATGTTTGTTCGTTAATTCTGCACTGGCTGTTCATAATTGTTAGCAAACAGTTTAATATCATTATGTATTAGGATGATGGTTAAGGTTCTTGTTGGGAAAGACCTGGTTTGGGGATGAAATATTATTGGGAAATAAATAATCAAAACATCATACTTATTTTGACTTGTTAAACAGATTTTTCTGTTAGTGAATGTTTTACAGCTGGTAATATGAGTAGGCACATGATTGTGTTAATACCTTGCTTCTATAAAGAATTCCAACTATTTCAGATTCTGGATAAGGCTTATCTGCTGAAGTGTACCTTAAGCAGGGGAAAGAAGGGTGAACGATCCTTTTTGAAAGAATTTCTATTCAACCAAAGATACAGTGTTTGAAATGTATGTTAATATTGTTCTGGTCTCTTTGGTTAATTCTTTTTTTAAAAGTTTGTGTATTTTGATTAAATGGATTTTGTCCATACTGATTTTCAGTTTACTGATACTACAAACAACATCCTTCACCAAACTTCCTTGTCTGTTTTTCTTCAGTTTCTGTTGTGTTGAAATATAACTTTAGGCTGCATACCAATGGCTGTGTTGAATGCAGGGGACTTACTTCAGTGTAAATATGCATTGGGTTGGACTGATAATGACATGCTGCTTGTGAAGATATATTAATGCAGGACATGTTTGCATTTTTTCTGAAACTGCTGTATATAGCAGAGCAAGCAAATTGGGCAGGGAGAGAAAGTAAATAACTAGAAGTTCAAGTCCAAGAGATCACACAGTTCTAAGCACAAAGATGTAGAAAAGATGTAGGGCACAAACTGCAGAATCCAGGAGGGGAAAAAAATGACATATGAACTAGGAAAAATGGATTTTTACCTCCATTCTCTTGTGCAATATAAAAATGGAAATCAAAAACACCTCTGTCTTTGATGATTCACAGTTCTCTGTCTAGATCTAATTAACAGCAACCTGATAATGCATGACAGAATTGGGGATTAACTGCTGACATACTAAAGTAACTTAGAAGAAATAGATTAAAAAAAAGTTTACTGATCTGTGCATTAATAGTACTGGGAAGTCTTGAATACCACTACTACAAATATGCAGTAAAAATCAAGGATTTTTGCTGCTGTTTTCTGATTCACTTTTATGGATCTACATGAGGCAAGGAAGTTTATAAGCAAATAATATTTACTTATAATTTAGTTAATATATTTTATAAGTAATTAATTTTGCATCATGAATATCAAGTGGAAATAAGTGTCACTGAAATCAGTGGGTTAGGCTCAAATCCTACAGAATGTTTCTGTGAAGTTAATTAGAACACAATGGGGTGTGTTCATAAAGGGTGTATTTCTTTATTCTTTATATCCAGCTTTCTCTCAAAGCAGCATATATAGATGCCTCCTGATTTTATTCCAACTGTGGCAATCCTTTGAAATTGGGCTGAGAGAAAGTGACTGGTCCAGAGTCATCCAATGAGCTGAGTGGTTAAATGGAGATTTGTTCCTGGTTCTCCCTGGTCCAAGTCTAACTAAAACCTAACCATAAGACTAGAGTGGCTCGGTATCCACTGAATTGCCATGGAATGATTGGATCACTACAGTGCTACCATTAGCATCTATTAAAGGCTAGAGGTATCCAGAAGGATGGTAAAGTGCTTTTAGCATGACATAAACTATTACTGTGGGTGAAGAATATGGACTCCTCTTTAGAACCTTCCACCTCCAGGCAGAGTCCATCTGCAAAAACAGCCTAGGGATGTTTGAACAAAGGTTCTAAAGAGAGAACCTCAGGAAGGAAATATATGGGGGCAGAAGGAGAAAGAAGTTTGCAGACATTTCTCATGTTAACAGGAAGTTTTTATTTTAATTGAGATACCTTTGCTGAGCTACCATTGGACAACTGCCTGTTAAAGACCAGGAGATACTATGTGGGCCTAAGGTAGATCATCACATGCTATTTGGGGGAGGAAAGATGGATCTTCTACCAGGAGCAACACCCTCATCCCCTCAAATTAAGCAGAGACAGCATGAGCTTTACTGTCATGGAATGTTTAGCCAATAACAAAACTTCAGAGAGGACAGAAATGCAAGAGTCAATTGATAGAAGATGTGGGGGACGGACCCTTTATTTACATCATAGAATGTCAGAAATGTAGCTTCCTTTCCAACTAGTTCTGAAGGAAATAGTTGGAAAAGAAGCTACATTTCTGACATTCTAACATCTATAAAGAGCCCAGAAGACTTCTTTCTATATTTGTGAATTTAATTTCAGTTTTTACGTCCTATTGTCTTCTAATTATAAATCAAAATTATTCCATTTTAGTAAAGGTGTAACTATAGCAAGAGAGAGCCAGTCTGATGTAGTGGTTAAGGCATCAGGCTAGAAACTGACAGACCGTGAGTTCTAGTCCCGTCTAGGCACAAAGCCAGCTAGGTAACCTTGGGCCAGTCACTTTTTCTCAGCCCTAAGAAGGAGGCAATGGAAAATCATTTCTGAAAAACCTTGCCAAGAAAACTGCAGGGACTTGTCCAGGGAGTCTCCGAGAATTAGACACAATTGAACCGATTAAAAAAAAAAAAAAAGCTATAGCAAATCAAAATCATTATTGGGGGATCTAACATTTATGGCTTGCCATTTAGATTTATGTTGCATATATTGAATTCCTATAAATCAAACTCCATGTCTTCTTAATACCTTGTTTGTCCCATTACAATCTCTTTGGTCAGTGAGGATGATAGAACAATGTCAGATTTATAATAAAGTGGCTACCTGTATCTTTCTTAAGGAACATGGATTTCACTGCTAACATTCCAGCAAATAGAAAACAGAAGCTGCAATACT